CTTCCCTCCAACTGTATGGGGCCCTAACGCTCGGGCAATCCTACCCGGAGAGCAGCACCAGATCCATCGAACTGGACAACGAAACAATATTCAGCCCAAGAAACAATACCATCCTACGCCTACTTCGCATCGATTGCTCCGCTCCTCACATTTGAAGCAAAATCTTAGCGCCATCAGTGCAAAATGCAATTGCCTTGTCCCTTGTGGGTGGAGCACTCGCTGATGGAGGGAAAGTGCTAAAATTTGACCCATGCAACTGCGCAAAATCCCACCGTTTTTGGGTTTGGAGGAGTTACGAGTATTATGCACATGCACAGGGATCGCAATGTTTCATATTTATGAGTTTTGCATATATGCAAAAACACATATTGTGACGACCCCGGTGTGTGTGTATGTGTGTGTATGTATGTGTGTGTGCGTCTGTCCGGGTGTTTCAACTGGGCATCCAAGCAAACTCCAGCGCCAAAATTTTGTGATTGGGTTCCCCGGCCAAATGCCACCCCAGGACCGCGGCACCAATCCTCACGCACGTCTAGGCCCCGCGTACGAGCACCTCAAAGTTTCGGCGGGGAAATCGCCAACTTGGGAACCAGAAACGCTAGAAAGCTGAAATTTTGGGGATTATGTTCCCCGTCCATATAGAACTCAAAGATTTTAAATTCAGCCGAAGGTGTGCGCGTTTCCCGCGTACGACTCCGCGAGGGTTCCTGGCGCGAAAACCGCTAGCTCGGGAACCAAGAAAGCTGGGAGGTTGAAACTTTCAGGAAATGTTCCCTACTCATCTATAACTTAAATTTATCAAATTCAGCCTCGTTATGCGTAGTTGCCACGTACGGCCCCGTGAATATTTCGGCGGGAAAATGGTTAACTCCGGAACCAGGGAAGCTGGGAGACTGAAACTTTCAGGAAATGTTTGCAGTTCATCTACAACTTACATTTATCAAATTTACCTCCCCGTTATGCGTGGTTGCCACGTACGGCCTCGTGAAATTTTCAGGCTGGAATTTGGGTAACTTGGGAACTGGGAAAGCTGGGAGCCTGGGATTTGAAGGGAATTTTCCCTGTCCAAATATAGCATGGATAATTAGCTTCCCGAAATTCGAGGACCAGTATGTACAAGAGGTTTCTAGCTAGCAAAATTTCGAGTGATCTTATTACAGCATGAAACTCTGCAAAACGCATGATCGCACGGGCCCGCCCAGTGCGCGTCAACAATGACTTTTAATTGTGATTTTGAAATGAGAAAACAATGTTGTGACTATCGCACAAATCACGACCTATTTTTACCCATCCAAAAACTAACCTAAAACAAACACATAAATAACAACGCGCACCCGGAGTATTTCATGCATTTTGTGCAACTCTGTCCAGCGAACGCTTGCCGCCGAAAATAGTGTGCACTGCTTTGCCGTTTGATATGTGCAGAAATTATCGGAATTTTCTGTTCGGCCAAAACTTTCTTGTGTCCGTACACGAGACTTAGGCAATCGGGGAAGGCGAACCTGAATTTTTCGGTGTCACAGACGGTCCAAAAAAATCTTCCCACCACTTAGCTTCCTGCTTTATCTAGCTCTCGGATTGGCAGATTTCTCGCCAAAATTTTCACGCTTCGTCTGTACGTGAGACCTAGGCATCGGCGCGGTTAGATTTAAATACTCGAGTGGCGCACGGGCAGGAAACGTAAAATTTAAGCTTTTTAACTTGCATGGTTCCTGAATTGAAAGCCCTGGATAAAATGCAGCCGGCAAGAAACAGACACATACATGCACACGCATGGATGTAGACGCGCGCACACACGCACATACACATGTAAATACACAGGGACGGCAATGTCCGTCTTGTTTAACTATCCCATGGCACAAATTATACTAAAATGTAAGACGTTAGCGTACTCTTGTATGAAGATATTAGTGCTTGAAAAAATGAAAAACAAGAGGAACATGAATGCACCGGTTCTCCCTTTATTTCAAACTGATTCCAAGCCACATCTCTGGTTATGCGTTTTTGCCGTGCAGCGCTAGAGCGCTGCAACAGGCAGCAAAAACGCATATTGGA